GTTGTGTGTGTGTGTGGTGTGTGTGTGATTGTGTGCGTGTGTGCGTGTGTAAGCATTTAATTGATACATTACTATAGACTCTTATCTACGATGATTTATACTGCTATCGTATATAAATCTACATTCGCGCTGAAAACAAGTAAATGGTCACTTATATACAAACAAACTGATCGGTCACTAGCTGGATTATTATTCTCGAATGGAAATACCTCCGCACTGATACTGGCTGTCGGCTGTTCCCACAGTTACCTCAGCGAACCATTGACCGTTACATGTCTGCGATGCCGATAAGAGCACAAGTGCTGATATCCTCCTCAATCGGGATACATCGATGCATACCATATTTGACTATTAAAACCGACCTGGTTCGTATATCCAAGTGGTATTGATTGATTTTTTTCAATACACTCGAGGTCCAAAGAAATGAACACGCTCTATGACGGTGCTAGGCTTAAACGATCTACGTGGAATGATAATCACGTGCACTTAGTACTGTAACCACCTCGTTTGTAACTGCAACAACGTTTCTGTAAAGCTTGATGTGAAATCTGCGCGATCAATCTACATACACAAACATATTTGTATGAATATGATCTGCGTATGGCGACTCCCTACACGTACTACAATGAGATCAGATATATACTATATTATACATGGTCCGCTAATGACGAGCATAAGATAAACCGAATAAATGCGAACGATCGATTGATAGGTCGCATCGTAATGTTGTTGCTTTACAACCCCTTTTTAATATCCTTCCAGCCTGTAACAGTTTAATCGGTGTAATGGCACCAACAATATAGCATAATGCCTAGCGATAGGCTTTTAGGAGCACATCGTTTAACATTGAGCTATTTTAATTGGTGTACAGTAGCTTCGTAAAATTTGTTGCGATTTGCGAGTACGCATTGGAAATGTTTCTAGGCGAGCTCGATTCTTATTAGTGTACAACATATATATAAATAACTGGAGTGATTTGTTTATCCATATTGATTCTTATTTTTTTAGAAGGAAAGAACAAAATCTGAGAATCTCAAAATCAACAACCCACATGACGCATCACTGCATCAGCGGCTATATTCGATTAACAGTACATCCTTCACCGCATCAGTCAATGTCAACTGCATAGTCGTACAGTATTCATACCACAGTATAAGCATTAATGCATGCTTCACTGCATCGGTCTCGTCAACTTGTAACTGGAGTGTTTAGGTGTTTGCGTATATTCAGCATGGTCGTACAATATTCATACACAGTCACATTCAGTATAAGCATTAATGCATCCTTAGCTGCATCGGTCACGTCTACTTGTAACCTTAGTAATTTTGCCCTTTGCGTTTGTTCCGAATAATCGTACAGTATCCATACACAGTCGCATGCAGTATAAGCATTAATGCATCCTTCACTGCATTAGTCACGTCGACTTGTAATTTTAGTATTTTTAGTCGTTGT